CCTGACAGGTATGGTTGCGGTTGGTGGCAGGCCGTAGCCAGGCGAAGTCAGCGAGGGGACCGGCCGTGCGCGGCTTTGTGCGCACGTTAAAACTTTGGACTCTAAATTCTGCCATAGAATCGGAATTGCGCGATCGGAGGGTAGAGGGCAGGGTCACCGCAACAAGCTTCGCTTAGCGGTGGCTCTGTCCTTGTGAATCCTTCCCATCAAAAGGTTCGGACTAAATTTATAAAAAAAAAATAAAAATAAAATAAAAAAGTAGGTACTGAGCGACGTTCTTATCACTTTACTCGAAGGCGGGTACTCAAAATAATGTACATGTAGATTGTATTTAGAGTGAACATAAGTAGGACACTTTCATTCCAGTAGCTTCAAATTAGCAATGATAATGAACTGGACCCAACTCTTCAGCTCACCGGTTAGAAGAAACAATGTCAAAAAGTTTTGATCGATTACGAATTAGGTGGTATCACTGATGTGGCATGTTTATAATCAATTTGTTTCATATTTAAGGCTTATCAAAAGGTAGTTATATGTTATTGATATATGACAATATCTCTTTTCTTGCAAAGCCGCCTAACGTCAGCCGTGGATAGGGTTACAAGTAGGTAGATGCATCGAGATGCATCGGGAATGAGGCGTATAAGTAGTGCATAGACTCCCGAACGGAATAAGTAGACATATGTACCGTGACCTTCAGATCTTTCATGTTGTCGCAGCAGCTTTATGTGCAATCACATCTACAAAACACGGCCATCTCACTAAGTATCATGGAAGTACTAAGCCGATAAAATGTCGGTAGCACAGCCGGCTTGCACGCCCTGGGGAGGGGGATGAGGGACAGAGTACGGTCTCTGCTATCCCCAGGCATTGTGGGATGGCTGTTTCATCATGCTCGGCTCAGTTTTTGTTCAGTCCGGACCAGCGTGTGTCTCCAAACACTCGCCGCATACCGCGGAGCTTTCTGAGTCCTGAAATCAGCGAACATTCGAGCTCAGGCAGTTTCTGAAGAGGCATTTATCACCATCTTCAGACCTGAAAGCCTAAAGCTTCCTCAGCTCTATCGGGTTTCTAGTTTTTATGCCAACGCATTAGCAGCAGCTGCTCCCCCACGTTTGCTGTCCACATTTGCTGAGCAGCAGCCCCTCCGACAGGTCGAGCTCAGTGGTGTGTAATTATACACAGTATGTAGATGCGCCTGATTGTCATCGGCCACCCCAGAGGCCGTCCCGTTCACACTTGGTCTGTTTGGTGGTGTTTGTACAATGTACAGGCTGGTCAGGTCGGTCGCAGGTCAGTCACCGTTCAGTCACAGGTCCGTCAACGCCCGGTCACAGGTCGGTCACTGGTCAGTGCGTTTTCGAGAGCCGAAACTGACAACCGATATCGGTCAGAAGCCGGCTACGTCGGACGCCTCGCGCCTGATCCACCGGCTCGCCAGCGCCCATTAAAGGCACTGCGGCGCTCGTGAAACTGAATATTGCGGCACACAAACATGGCCACTCAAATGCCGGTGACAGCAGCACTGAATTAGCAGAGTCACTGCGCGACGAGTGGGAGACTGAATAACTGCCATGTGCTGGTCGTGTCAAATAGTTGGCTCGCCTGATCTTTGCATGCCGCTGGGGCAGGGTTGTATACCAATCAAGTCGATTGAATTGATTGATTTGATTCAACGCGTATTTTGAGTTGATTGGATTGAGTCGATTGACTTTCGAGATGACTGGTTGACTGACTCGTTTGACCTTAGCGACTGGTTGACTGATTTGATTCCCAAAAATTAGAGTGACTCGTATGATTGAGTCGATTGAATGGAAAGTTCAAATAAGTTTTAGTTGATGAAAAATAATGACACCAATTGATGACATCAAAGATCACAAAACTACACTGAAAACTGCTTGTCATCACAACTGCAATATGGGGTAGATGGCCAAATAAAGAACAGGGCCTAAACATGAACAGACAACTTTGACTTTCAACTGCAATAACTGCTCCAATCCTGGTGATAGAACCTGGCGATGCACCTACCTACCTTTCTGCACTCAGCAGGAAACGTTTTTTTTTTTAATCCAGATGATAAAGTGCAAGGCCCTATATACTAATAAAGTGTGATTAATTAATAATTCACATCTCCACATCTCCTCAGAACCCACTGAACTCTATAAGTATAAATATCTGAAACCCCTACAAAAATAACTGAAACAAAAGCGCCGTTTTCGTCTCGCTAAATTTGCTGCATTGTTTAATTTGCAGCAGAACGTTTGGTGATCCTTTTCTCCTGAGAGCCTAAGCATAACATATTTAATATATTTCATTTTCCTCAAAATATTTTACCGAATATCATTAAGTGGTTTTATTTCAAATGAAATAATAATTAAAACGAAATTAGTGTTGTACAACCGATTTATTTTATGATAATCTACCATACTACATGATTATCAATGACGTCATCTTACCAAAAAATCAAAGACGTAGAATAAGCATTTATAAAAGCTTAGCATACTTGTTGGCAAAACGTTTTCTTTGTTTTTTTTTCGCAGTCGCACCGTGCCGTTTTCGCGTTTTAATTTTCCTTGTTTCTTGCTTGTTTCTACTTCCTTTGTCCTTAACTTATCCTGTGGTTCCAGAGTCCCTGTCCTCTCCATTTGCTTTTAAATATATTTTTAATCCTCATCCCTATCCCCCAGTCCTAACAGTTTCAAAGTGTATTGCAATAAAATCAAAATGTTTAGAATTCTTCACATATAACCTATCTACCTTCGTTGGTACTGTTGGTAGCCAGTGACACATCTAGGCAGGTAAGTAGGTACCTACCTGCTTTCCTGCTGTCTTCATAAAGCATACCTAATGAAGTTGTCAAATTTGTAGCACATTTTCAACACTTTCATAAGTGTGGCATGAAACCTGCTAGGTTCATTATGTTTAGGGTTCATTTCAGAAGAGCTCCGTCTAACTCACATTAACCCTCGCCCTGGCAGGGGGGGGGGTCGATGCGACCCCCCCCTAAGGTTTTTCGAAGATAGCGTAAAAACGGCGGCGCGCAGCGCCGCCAAATTTGGCACAGCCTATGGGGCAACCTTTTTACATATGACCTGAAAATTTCAGGTCCGGGTGACCTTGGGTCAGGTCACCAGGTCAGAAAAACCGGTACAAGGTCATGGTCAAATTTCAATTTTCTTTTTGCACCTGTCCAACTCACAGTTTTTCACTGATTTCCTTCAAACTTTCAGGATGTGCTAAGTTCACCGAGTTGTATAACATATAGTTCGGGTTTTTTGAGGTCACTGACCTGAGGTCAGTTAGAGGTCATTACGTCGTAATGTTAAGCCTATGGGAAAATACTAAATTCGGAAAATACTGGAGATATCCACTTTGTTCTATCATTTTTGTGCTTTGAAACCACAGTACTTAACAGCAGGTCACTTGGTGCTTCTTTGTTTGGTGTACTTATCCATGGGTCAGGTCAAATGAGGTCAACTGAGGTCAAATGACGTTTTTGCCAATAACTTGGCACATAATGACGCTAGAGCTTAAAAAATGGTATCATTGTGTTCCTGGTGATCAGCCGAATCGAATGATATACGATATGACGCAATTTGGTTAACCTGAACTTAATTTATTAATTTAAGTTTACTTAAAATTTAAGAAAAACTTTAAGTACACTTAGGCTAGCTAAAAAGTATATCATTCGACGCGCCTTGACGTGCTGAGTTCACTGGTGCTTTTCTTTTTGCTCTATCTTAATTAGATCAAAAGTTATAAGCGAAAAACGTTTGACCTGTTTTTAGCGAAATTTTTACATTTATACCCCCCAAAACCCCCCTAAATATTGACCTAGAGCAACCAAATTTGCACAGGGGCGAGAACTCCAGGGAACCCACCTACCTACCAAATTTGGTGTTTCTAGGTGTCATAGGAGCCAATCGCGAGGGGGGGGTCGCATCGACCCCCCCCCTGCCAGGCCGTGTTATGAAAAATGCCCTGCCAGGGCGAGGGTTAAGAGACAGACAGGGGCTTTACATGGGGTAGATGGCCTGATGACTTAGCTGGAATATGGCCAAAATTAAATTGACAACTTTTAGGTGAAAGGTGGTGATTTGGGTTAAGGGGCGAGTCAACTACTGGGTTATTTTGCACCCATTAAATGAAACTTCTGCTCTAATTCTACCCATTGAACCTCAATATCATGATCCACCTGTCCATCACTAGGTATCCTTCCTTATTACATAGAATCTTTGAATGGCATGGCAATTTATAATTTTAAATGACAATATTTTTATGTTTCTTCTGTAGGTAGGTAGGTAGGTAGGTAGGTAGGTAGGTACACAAGACTGCTATGGACACTTTTCCAAGTTGGTGGGGCAAAAAACCTTATGTATGTCTTGGTTTGAGTCGTTTGATTGAGTTGATTGATTCCTTTCATTGTCGCGTTTGAGTCGATTGAATCAATTCCCGAAAACTGCTCTGACTTGATTGATTTGATTGGTTTCCCAAATTTGTCGTGATTGAATTGATTGCTATTGATTGAGTCGTATACAACCCTGCGCTGGGGATGAACTTGAGAACCGTTAAGCACCAGCCGTTGGTTTTGTTTTGCATGGATTACAAATACCGTCTATGCTAACAGTGTAACGAGGCTTTATTTTGGCTTATATTTTGTATCATTATCATAAACTACAAGTATTTTTAATGACATCGAAAATGAGGTGTGGGAACTTGGACCTGTGCATAACCATGGTGCAATGTAACGTGCGGACATTTAAAAAAAGAGTAGACACTACCTACATAAACACATAAAGCAAAAGAACGACAACGCACATTTCCTCTTCAACCTTGGCAGACTTCTGCAAATAGCTATTGCGCTGACGCTCTTCATAGGAGACTCGAAATGATATTGAATAAGTTGTCAATTGTGCAGCAATGGGCTTGACTTTGGAGTTTGGCTGGAGTATTTGACCTGGCGGCCAACAGGCAACGGCCGCCAGTGCGTCGAGACTCACCTTTCCCCGTCGTCGGCGAACGCAAAGTCGCCCTGGATGAGGTCGCGCAGCCGGTAGCGCGGCGGAAGCCCGGGCAGGTACTCCTTGTCGGGCCGCGTCTCCTCTCGCAGCTCGGCCTCCCTCCTGGGGCCCTCGGGCGCTGCGCGCTGCCCCATGCCGCCGGCCGGCGGGCCGTCCTCCTCCCGGCGGCCCACCTGGCCCACCTCGAACCCGACGCGGCGCGGCGCGGCGCCGCCAGTGCGGCCGTAGCGCGGCGTGCGCCGGCCCCAGTCCGTGGCCAGGATCGCGTCGGCGTCGTCGAGGTCGACGGAGCGCTCCCGGGACAGGTAGCTGCCGTTGGCGGAGCGGCGCCGGCCGGCCGCCGAGTCGGCCGCCGACGGCCGCACCGACGGCGGCGGAGAGCCCGGCCGGCCGTCGCCGCTGTCTACTCTGCCGGGCAGAGTGGCCTGACCGGCCGCCGGCGCCTGCTGGCCAGGCATCACCTCCCTGCAACACGGAGGGCAACAGTCGGTGGAGGGCGGAGACAGGCGGCCTGGAGACAGGCGGCCTGGAGACAGGCCGAGGTCAGGAGATTGGTCAGTTGATCAGCACTCTTTGGCAGGGACAAGAACATCAGATCAAAAAATGAAGATGCGGCTTATGTTGATTAAAACACGTGACGATTTCAACAGACGTTAAAGGCTATGACTTATGAGCTACGGCTTTATGTGGGATATAATAGGAAGATGAATCATAAATCTTTTAACCCTCGCGGGCCCGGGGGGGGGGCGTTTTTCGCCCCCCCCCCCCTGGCGAATATTTGCGATGGCTCCCGAACGCTTAGGGATAGGAAAGCGAAACTTTCAGTACCTTTTCTCCCATCAATTTGACATCTTCTGAAGTAAAAAATTTGGACCTAGCCCCCTTGATGACGTCACAAGGTCCATTTTTCTAGACCCCTGCACGGCAAACTTCGGCGTCACAGACGCAAACTTCAAATAGCTACTAAAAATAGAGTTTTAGAGATAAAGACAAATTACGAGCACGGTTGTGTAGCGTTTGACCTAGAGAAAAATAGAAAAATAGTTTTGGTGACCTGAGGTCAGAGGTCAGGTCAACGACCCCGAAATGTGGTTTTAGTTTTTCGCAAATAACTTCGACAAAAATGGTCCTAGAGCTACGGCAGTGGTACCATCGCATTCGCCTTGTCAAGCCGCGTCGAATGATATATATTTTGTTCGGAAAAGGTCAAATTTTATGTTGACCTCATGTGACCTCGAATGACCTCTGGTTGACCTTGACACATGAAAGGTCGTTTATGATAGATTTGTATCCGCTGATCACGAATCTGGCATCTATTTTCCTCTCAGCCTTTATTTAGAGCTTCCGGATGGCAAAATTGTCTTATTTATTATAACTAACTTGAATTAGTGAAATAGCCTCTAGCAGGGATACTCTTCTGTGACCTTGACCTTTGAGCAGCCTTGTAATGTAAGATGAACCACAAATAGGGAACTGATAAGCCTCAAAACATTTCAAAACATCTTGGAAGTTAGCACGCAAGATGTGCGAAAAAGTGCCAAGTTTGAGGTCAATTTTGAGCGTGACCTTGACCTTGACCTTTGATTTTGAGCACAGTTTCGGAATCCTCAAATTCCCTTCTTTCGTTTGACACCCAATTTTGCCGGTTTGATGCAGCCTGCCGTCCTCTAGAAGGCTTACTTTGAGATCACTACACATGTGACGGTTTTTGCCTTTGACCTTGACCTCTGACCTTGAAAATTGACCTGAGGTCAAAAATTTTAGGTGCTTTAGAATCGTCTCGTAAGGACCTTTCGTTTGGTATCGCTTTTGTTTCCGTAGCTCCCTTATTTACGGAGTTAGACAGGGGGGCGAAAAACGCCCCCCCCCGGGCTGCGGTGGTTGGGATTACCCCCCGGGCCCGGCCGGGTTAAAAAAAACCCTAAGGTTTTTCGCAAATAACGTAAAAACGGGGGCGCGTAGCGCCGCCAAATTTAGCATTCCCTCTGGGGCAGCCTTTCGCACCCTTCCTGAAAATTTGAAGTCTCAGTCTTTTCAGATCAGGTCATCAGGTCACAAAAACTGGTACAAGGTCAGGGGAAAATTGGACTAGCTTAGCGGCAACTGAATTCCAGAGTTCACTTAAATTGGTAACAAGGTATACCAGTAAAACGCCTTTTGGGCGACCAACGGAGCGAGCGAGAGGATGGGCCTTGCACGTGCGAAATTGCGAGGGGGTACCTCCAACTAACTTGTGCACTGCACCCTACTAACCGGTCTTTAGCGATGTGCCAAATTTCAGCGCAATCGGCCTAGCCGTTCTCGAGATCTGGAAGCGGCACACTGCACGTGCGCACGTGCAAGCGGGGTCCAAACTGACTTTTGCACGGCACCCTACTAACTGGTCCCCAACCGTGTATCAAATTTGAGCGCAATCGGCCCAGCCGTTCTCGAGATCTGGGAGCGCCCCCTGCACGTGCGCACGTGCTGTAGCACCCCAACCTTAACACATGCAGATGAATTATCTGATGGAGACCTAACTGTGTACCGAGTTTTAATTCAATCGGCCCAACCGTTGTGCCGTTATTGAGGTTGCAATTTTGGGGGTTCTTAAAAAATGTCCAACTTTACCACGCGCCACGTGCGGTGGTTGGCAAGAACGCATGGTGGCTATCACACCACAGAACTTTTACGTCCAAGTGACATTCAGTAAAGAAGACCGCTTGTCAATCGGATGTCCCGTTCCTAAGATATTAGCTTTTGAAGAGCGTCCCCACGGCCGGCCGGCCGGCCGGCCGCTCATACTCAGGATTTTCCCTTAATTCAGTATGAGACTCCGCTCGCTTCGCTCGCTCCGTAATCATTCGATGCGCACGGAAGTCCTGAGTTCACTGGTGCTTTTGTTTTTGCTCTATCTTTACTTGGTAAAAAGTTATAAGCGAAAAACTTTTGACATGTTTTAGCAAATTTTTTTACTCATACCCCCCAAAACCCCCCTTAACCCGCGCCCGGCTGGGGGTCCTGGATTTCCACGCCCTGCTGGGGGGGGGGTGTTTGAACACCCCCCCCTTGTAACTCGGCTCCTGGGCCACGTAGCGATACGCGGAAGGCGGCGTTCGAAAGAGCGTAAAAAATAATGACGAAATCACTTCGGTCAATTTTTTGGTCAGGCCAAAGGTAAGGTCACCAGAGGTCATTTAACCCTCGCATGTGTGCGGCGTTTACCAGCTTCTAATGTGTAGGGGGGGGGGTCGGTTGGACCCCCCCCCCTTGCCGTTTGGCCCCCGATCGAGCTAGAGCTTCGCGGAAAAAACGAGCGTGTTGCCCGTGACGAGAGGAAGCCGATGATACCCAATTTTAAGGTCCTAGGTCATTGGTTGACCTCCCAGGTCAGGTCAATGACCCAAAGTCGGGAAAATCGGGACCTATTAGAAAGTCGTAAAGTGAGGCTGCTAAGGGGTTTTTCGGGGTGCTGATTACGAATATCGTGTTAGTTTTGATCACAGATGATGTCTTTAAGCATTTAGACCAGGTCGGGTCAGGTCAGGTCAGGTCAATCAGTAGGCGTCGTGACGGGTATTCGTAGTACGTGTAAACCGCCTCTGACAGCTTCGTAACATGTTACGAAGGCACCAAAACTACTTCGTAAATGTTCAAATGGTTGCTAAATTCGAATTCAGCTCCAAAAACTAGCCTAGAAACATGTAAAACTCGAAAAAGTGAACCGAGGTCACCCGAGGTCACCAAAGGTCAATGACCTGACCTGACCTTCAGGTGACCTTGACACCCACCCTATTGCATGGGAGCAACATCAAATCACATGTTTGAACGTTTAAAATCACGAAAAGCTTGCAAACGCGCGGCTAATGCGAGCCGACGTACGCCGAATCGCGATTCCGGCCAAACATGGTCTCGGAAAAGAGGTCACAGGTCAAAGGTCATTTGGGTCAGGGTCATGAAATTTTCAGGGTAGGTGTCAAATTGATCAATGCGAGGGTACTGAAAGTTTTGTCGCGATCGGCCGCTTTTTACGCGAGTTATTCGCGAAAAACCATGGGGGGGGTCCATCCGACCCCCCCCTACACATGCGAGGGTTAAGGCAAAATTTCGCCGATTTTCAGGTCGAATATCGACAATTTCCAAGAAGCCAACGCATAACTCGGGAACCAATAGAGCTACAGCGCCGCGGAAAAGTGCATTCGATAGCCCTAATAACGCCCTTTCTGAGTAATTCTCTCAGATTTGACCTAACGTCAACGGTTTTGCCTGCAGGGGGCAAAAACTGCAAAAATAGCCGATTTTTTCGGAAACAGTTTTTCTGCAATAACTTTTGACCCAAGCCTTGTACGAGCTTACTTTTACCGGCATCGTATTCCTCTCGTCAAGAGGCATCGAATGAACTATAACTTGACCTTGAAAGGTCAACTTGAAAATTTGACCTCAGGTCAAGGTCATGACCTGACCGGAAAGGGTCACGTTGCATATCAGTCGATCCGTATCGTCGAGCTGAACACATATAAGGCGTTTTCATCGCTCTAGCATGCCTCTATCAAAAGTTATTTGCGAAAAACTGTTAGATACCATTCGTGACCTAAGATGACCTCAGGGCACAAACAAGGGTCACGGACACCATTTTCATGTTCAGTGTGTCTAAACCACTTGTAATTCGGTGTTTGGGAGTGTTTATAATGTCTTTCGTCCAAAAGAGGCGCATTTCAATTTTCTCCCGTTGACTTATAATGGGGAGGTCGCAAAATTGACCTGACCTTAGGTCATCGATATCAAAATTCTGAGAGATACATTTTGTGCATGCTATTGCTCTTAGCAATCGCTGAAAGTTTCAAAGCGATCGGTCACTCGGTGTAGCTATGACAGACATTTAAACTTTTTATGAGGTGAGGTCACTTCAAGTGACCTGGTGACCTGACCTTGAATGACCTTGGTCTGAAATTTTCACAACATGTGTAGAATTGATGTATAAAAAGGTGTACCAAAAACGGCGGCGCTTGAGATATTCGCGAAAAACCACAAGGGGGGGTGTTCAAACACCCCCCCCCCCAGCAGGGCGCGGGTTAATATTGACTTAGAGTCACCAAACTTTCACAGGGGCGAGATCTACTATTGGACCCACCTACCCTGTAAATTTGGCGTTTCTAATTGCCATAGGAGCGAATCGCGAGGGGGATCGTACCAACCCCCCCCCCCCCTCGCCGTCCGTGTTATGGAAAAGGCCCTCGCCTGGCGAGGGTTAACATTAGCCCTATGGGCGTTGCATGGAAAGAATGGGACCAAAAGTCGGCAGTGCCCCCCCCCCCCTCCTTAATTGAAGGTGTTCCGCCGCTACTGCTAGAGAGGGATGAAACTGCTGTAGATACAAGTAACAGCATATAACCGTTTTCAGTGCGGACAGTGGAATGTCAGTTTAAGTGGCGAGGAGTTATGACAGGAACATAGGAAGTGTATATGGGGACTGGGGAGGTAAAGCC